TCTTTTATGCCTTTGAAGATGACTCAATCGTACAAAGGCTTTACCACATTCCTTACATTCATAGGTTTTCTCTCTTGTATGTGTTCTTTTATGACTTTGAAGATGAACATGTTCTGCAAAGGCTTTACCACACTGATTACATTCAGAGAGGTTCTCTCCAGTATGACTTCTTTTATGTATTTGAAAATGTTTGTGATGTACAAAGGCTTTACCACATTGATTATATTCATACGGTTTATTTCCAGTATGTGTTCTTTCATACATTTGAAGAGTTTGGTGATATGCAAAGACTTTACCACATTGATTACATTCATAAGGTTTATCTCCAGTAGGTGTTCTTAAATACATTTGTAGCTGACAATGTTTTCCAAAGGCTTTACCACATTAAATACATTCATAGGGTTTCCCTCCAATATGGGTTCTTTTATGTATTTGAAGAGTACTGTGTTTGGAAAAGGCTTTATCACACTGATTACATTTAGAATTTTTTGCACTATTATATGTTCTTTTATGCTTTTGAAGAGTACTGTGTTGTGTAAAGGCTTTAGCACATTGATTACATTCATAGGGTTTCTCTCCAGTATGGTTTCTTTTATGCCTTTGAAGATTACTGTGATGTGCAAAGGCTTTAACACACTGATTACATTGTAAACATTTCTTTCCCATAGGTGTACTTCCATGCCTTTGAAGGTGACTCTCATATACACCGGTTTTTACCACATTCAGTGTATATGAAAGCTTTCTTCTCTCCAGTTTGACTTCTTTCATGCCTGCAAGCATATGTAAAATCTTTACCATAATCATTACACTGTTGACTCTTTATATCTGTATGAATTAAATTTACTATTTTGTCTAATGTTAAAGAGGAATCCGTTCTTAAGATTTCATCATTGTTTTTACACCCATGTTTTATTTAAGCAGTCCTAGTACTCACAAGGCTTTTCTGTAGTGTGAGTTTGTTAATATTTATTAACAATGAAGATAGAAAATCAATTACTTGTATACTTGAATCAAATTCAACAAGTATCTTCAATGTGGAGACTGCTACATATCTTCTGATTTTATATGAATGGAGTATGTTATGTCTTCCATATCCCTATGCTCATACGGCTTGTTTTCAGAAGGACATATGATATAGCTAGTAAAGGAAGAATAACAGATAATAGGTTTCCACATTGAATTCTGTTTGATTTTCTGTCCTCATTGATTTGTGGTATAGGGATTAAGATTTCTCTTCCACAATATCCCTTGACTTTAGACTTAAACAGGCCATCTCACTAAACAACACTGTCACAAAAAGTATTTGAGTCACAGTACTTTTACTATGGACTATTTACTTTATAGAAAGCTTTGACAATATACTCATCACCTCTTCACTGTGTGTAACTTTTGTAATATGAATGTTATAAAATAAAAACACTGATGGTTCTACAGCATACCTCTCATTGTGTTTTGATTTTAATGGTGATCTCTTTTG